AGAGTCTCTATACAGGAATGGAATTGCTGTGAGATGGATTTGTTTAAGATATTAATGTCTTCAAATTTATTAATGTCACTGTTCAATTGGTACAAAATGGTTGTACCAATATATATTCCTCTACCATGGATTGTAAATTCTGAAGGGCTTGGTTAATTAATTTTATTACTTTTTTAAAATGGAAAATTTTTAGAGAAGTTTTAGGTTCATAGAAAAATTGGTAAAAGGTACAGAAACTTTCCTGACCTAGCCTTGTATAGCTTCCCCCATTATGCACATCTTCCATATAGTGTCTGTTATAATCGATGCGTCTACATTGACAAGTTAGTTTCTTTTTTGGTCTTACAAGATGCATTTTCAGCTCACTGAAAGGTATCATTAGACCTTGTGTACATATGATAATACTTCTGAATTCAGACAGATTGAAATTTCTGATAATGGAAAGGGATATTCAGACCTCCTGTAGGTATGATAGTGGTTCCAAATTCACAGAAACAACACTGCTTTTCTTGAAAAACAACCAAACTGGCCATCCATGCTCTCTGCCCCTGGTGCCCTGAAAGTTCTTTTGGTGTGTACTGTTTTTCACAGATCTTCACTCACCCTAAACTCAGGGCAAGGCTGAATGCGTTTAGGAACCTTGGGTCTTTGCTGAGACAGCCTCATTTTATAGGCAAGGAAACAGATGCTCCACAGAGCAAGAAGCATGAACCCTGAGTTTCCTTCCCTATCTAGGGCAGAGGAGTCTCCTCTTCTGATTCCATGATGGGGATGGCTTACTGAGTGACACGGGCCGTTCAGTTCCTTTCTGTGTCTGGGCGATGGCGCTCCCAGGATGTTAAAAGCCAAACCTGTTAATGCTTGCCATTAGTGCAATTATTAGTGATTCTCTTAGTTACATTAGTTCAAACAACTCCTGACACCAACTAAATGGGAAGAGACGTAATTATTTGGTAAACTTTTGTTTTTCATTTTCATTAAATACTCTCACCTCTGCCAAATTGTATAACTTGTTTCCACAGTGTTTTCCTGGCTGTTGTTAGAAAATCTGAAACCCTAGAACAAGCAGAATTATTTATATATGTCATATGCTTCCTGTTTCAAGCTGTTCACTGTATTCTGTGTTCTGAACTTTCATGCTAAATGAAAAAGCTCCTTCTTACAACATTTTGGTCAGTTTTTAATTTTGTTTCTTTAAATATCAGAAGATCCTCTTTTCCCCTGCCTTCCTTCTTTCCTAGGAAGAGGATAGATGCTCAGATAGAGGAAGACAGAAAAAGTCAGCAATGAGTGATTCAGCCCCACGTGTATTGTTCTCTCTCCTTGAACAAGGTGTAAGGATTGAGCCAGAAAGGAGAGAAGGGGCGGGGAAGGTTGGGACCAGCAGAACAGGCTTGGAAGGCTCTGCTGCACTCCTCGCACTCACTCCGTGAATGTGAATGTCAGAGAAGGACACCCCAGGTATAATGGTAGCTAGGACACTGTACCTGGCCCTGTAGGGAGTACCACTTAAATGATTGATATTATAGTTGCCTTTACCAATGGTATTATTTAAAAAGGGGACACAACTTTTTTCGTTGTTCCCTTTCGGTCATATTTTTCTTGGATGAAAATTGCAACGTGTACAACCATGAGACATTTCTTACCAGATTCAGATTGGGGCCTCTGGCTTAGAAATTCCACCATAGTGTGGCTCATGCTCACAGGCTGTCCTATGTTGAGGACATATGTATGTGTGCGTGCGTGTGAGTGCACATGCACACACATGAGTGTTTGTCTTGTGAGCTGATCCTAACATATCTCTTCTCGGTTATTATCTTAAAAGAAAGAAAAACACAAAGGTTATCACACATGCCCTGCTGAGGATCTGTTAAGTACAAATCACCCCCTTTTAAATCGAATTAGTAGAAAGGTCAAAAACTTACAGGATAAAATAGTTAGAGATATGTTCTTTACCAGTCAGTGCAGCTCTTTTGGTTTCTGTAAAGGCGACGATATCAAGTATATTAAACAGCTCTCTGGTTGGAGGGCACTGCCTTGTCTGCTGTCAGGTATTTTGCCACTTTGGATGTGACTTCACTGGGGATCTGCACTGTCATGCAGAGAAACGACGGAGCAAATACACAGAGAAGTTCATGTCATTTCACTGTGATAGTTTACATGTTTACGCATTTAACATATAAAGCCTTGCAGCCGTAGATCTAGATACAGAAATCGTATAAACGAGTTAAAACAGTGAACTCCGCGGTTTCCTTCTCATTTCGTGTGCAGTGGAGCTTTTCCTTTTAGTCATTTCGATTAGAGTTTGTTGGATGCCGACTCCCCATGTGTCAGCAGCAACAGCCAGCTGGTAAGGGAAAAACTGAGCTTTCAAGCTGGGCCTGTGGCTTAGTGGTTAAAGGAGCCAACTCCCATATGACCAGCCGCAGTTCAAATCCCAGCCTTGGCAGCCTAAAAGCCATGTCAGGCGTATGTGTATGTATGTCCCAGATCCAGACAGGATAGAAAAATGGAAGAGAGTCGTGATCATGCCCCATTAAGGGTTGCTTTCTCCATCTTGCTTCCTTTGACGAGCACAACTGCCCTCTGGAAATAAAAAAAAAAAAAAAAATAAAAAGAAAAGAAAAGAAAAAGAAAAAGGCTGCATTTGCTGCCTGCCATATTGCTAGGGGAACAATACCTCTACATAGCCTTCGTGGTGTCATGAAGGGAGAATGCCAAGATGGGCATTTAGCGAGAATTTGACGGCTGGTTTAATGAGTCTTTAATGAGGGGCTGATGGTGGCAGATGGTAGGCAGAAACAGAAGCTTGATTAGGATGAGTAAGAATGATACAGTTTAGGACTGGTTTTAGAGCTTAAACCGTCAGTTGGTGGTTCCTACTGAAGAGGTGTTTTTTAATTTTGTCATCAAGTGTGTGCACTCACCAGAGAGAGACAAAGAGAAAGAGGGAAATGGAGAAAGGCCTCCTATGAGGGATGGTCATGCTGCAACCCGTTCTCCTCCATTTCTCCCTCCTTTTGGAGTGCATGTACACACAGGTGCCAAGCATGTTTTTCAAACTGTTGGATCCAGGCCTTGAACCACGCAGTCGGCCCTCTGAGATCTAGCTGCCCTAACTACCACTCCAGCAGCTGGCCTGAGCGAATGAGTTTTGAGAGAAGTTTCTGTAAGGAACATGCATTTGTCTAAACAAGAGTTTCCTGGAAATGTAAAATCATGTTAACGATGAAAATAGAATAGTAAAATCATGTTAATACGATAGTAAGCTGTGTGGGGAAATAGATGTTTTTGTCTTTAGTGTGCAATTTATATACAAGAGTACATGGTTTCTGTTCTCAGAGTTCAGTCAATAGGCATCTGAGGCAGAACTAAGATGGATGCTCATATAGCCGTGGCCATATATTAAAAGCTAACTTTCCTAGATACTCGCCGGGGAAAGAACTATTGGCCGTTTATTTATACATTCAATATGCAGCTACTTATGAAGCCCATACCAAGTGTCAGGCACTGTACTCGGACTTTAGATAGCAACCCCAGGATAGAAGACAAAGGCCCTACCCTCTTGGGTCCTTCCTTTCAGTGTGATACAGCATTGCGTGGACCTCTTTCAGGTTGCAAAAAGCCAAGACAGGTTTTAGCTGGAAGCTTGGTATAGCTCAGATTCTTACTATGTGGTCACTGCAACAGGTGAGTGCTGGAGTTTTCATGTTCAGATTGTTAAAATTAGGCTTGCTTTATGTATGTCTTGGTGTCACAGACCTAGACGCTTTAAGTTAGGCCAGTTTATTCTTTTATGTTTTTACAGTGTAACTTTCACCACGTGTCAGCCGTTGCAGGCACCGGACAACTTGGTAGGAATATAGGTGTACCAACTTTACAAATTAGGTCATTTAAACATGCACAAATAACTGATATTTTTAACAGCCAGTTTATATTCAATTCTACAAATACCGAATGACTTTAGTTTGCCAGATGTTGTACTAGGTGTTAGGAATTAAAACCTTCAAGGACCCCTGTAAGGTGATACGGTCAGGGAGCAGTCACAGCATAGAGTGGCAAACGCCATCATGGAAACCAAGAGCCCCCCGTGCAGGGGCGGTGAGGAGGCACAAGCCTCGCTGTTTAAGTAAAACATTGGGGTGGTGTTGGCAACATTGAAATATCAAGGATTTAGCAGATGGACTAAAAGCACCACTGTAAGTTTTGAGAAGGACTATGGTCTCAAATTTTCTGGACATACGGAGCCCACTTCAACAAGGAAGAAGCAGCTCTGATAATAACGGGTAGAAATAGAGGCTCCTTTACTGTCTTGGTTTCTAAGCCAGTCTTGTCCAAGTAGCAAGAAGTCTCTAAAGGCTGCCTTGGAAATTGGCAGGGGTCTCTTGCAAAGGATTGCCTTTCCCACAGCCTGGTTTCCGTAGAGGCCTTTACTGCATGCTTAGTGATAGGTGATACGACTGCATAGCACAGTGGGTGGAAAGAACATTGCACCTGTGGGGCGTGGACCTGATGCCAGCACCTATTGACTGCTGACCTTGGACAAATCATGTGACCTCTCCATAGGTGTAAAATGTAATGTTAGGATTAAATGGTTTCGGTCATTCCTTCTAGCTCAGACATTTTAATTATATCTAAATACATTTCAAGCAGTGTCACTGGCACAGTCAGTACCATACTCAACTGCAGTGCTAGAAGCTCCATGGCCAGCTGTGGGTTTGGATCTCCAGCCCAGTTGGCCTGCAACTCACTGGATAAACATGCATGTAACATGCATGTACCCCAAATTCTGGGAAGCTGGAGGGCTAGGGAAAGGGGATTGAAACATAACCCAACTCTGTTGAGGGTGCTTCTCTCACTCTTTCTCTCCCTCTTTCTTGTGTGCATGTATGTACATTCTTTATCATAAATAAAATAAATTTAAAAAAATCTCTGATAATATGTGCAAAACAACTTCGTAAATTGAGGAATTAATATTGTATGTTTTCCTTTCTCTTCAGTATCTCTACACAGAGAGTCTCTTCTACACTTGGCCGCAAGATGGGGCCTGGATAAGCTTTTCCAGTTCCTCTTGTGTCTCCCTGGGGGAGTCCAGGCCTTGGCTTTACCTAACGAAGAGGGTGCCACACCGTTAGACTTAGCTTTACATGGAGGACACTCCAAGCTGGTGGAAGACATCACCAAGTGAGTTTAGCTGCTAGTTGCTCTGTTAATCTGTTTCTATAAAGTCTACTAATCATTATGGAAAAATGGAAATCACCAAACAATAAACTAATACTGGTTTGTTTTACTCTTAGTCCTCATAAATATAGTATAGATATACATATAATACATAAACAGGTAACACAGATATATGTGGTGTTAACATTTCATGGGGAACAGACAATTTGGAAAAAATGTCTCAAATGTATAGAGGACCAGCAGTTAGCATAATGGCTATGTCACTGGACTCCCATGTAGTCAGCCGCGGTTCCCGTCCCGGACCTGGTGGCTTAAAACACGCTGGGCGCGTGTGCGTGTGTGCCCAAGATCCCGAGAGGAGAACGGAGGAGAAGGGATTGCGGCGTGACCATCCCCACTGGGGGGTGATTTCTCGCTTTCTGTCTCCCTGTCTCTCTCTGTCTGTCTGGTGAGCACACGCACCCTATAGCAAAAACCTCTCCAAAAAA